GTGGTAGATTTTACTTTTTGTGAAATGTGCAATCATTTGAGTTTTTAATTATGCTTATGAAATTAAGCCTGATAAATCAAATGGTTCTTGTTTTACCTTTAGCAGAGATCTTTTACAAGTTTAAGGTATGCTGTTGGAAAAGTAAATACTCTGCCATACTTCTTTAATTTCAGCATATCTTCTTCTAGATAAATTAATATATTTTGGTACCTATTTTGCAGGAACAAGAAGCTCATCTATCTAATTTCTTTTGAATCAGAATGAATGCTTTAACACTGGAATGTTTCAGGGAACTTTCTTTCTCTGATTTGACTATGTGAAACAGAAAAATGAGAAACAATCTTATACAGCTTTTAGTTTTAATTTGAAATTGCCTTACCATCAGGTTTTTCAAATTTGTTTCACTGTCTTGTCTGTAAGTCATTCATCTTTGTTGAAAAGATACTTTTTGGTGAAATTAGCACCGAAGTGTTATGTCAGAAACACCCATAAAATATTAACTTGCTTGTCTGTTCTGTATTTTACGTCATAGAATGATGATGCAGTGCTTCTAAATTAAAAAAAAAAAATTATGTGTGTGTTCTCTAATTTAAAATAAGGTGTTTTTAAAAATGTTGAACCTACAAAGGAGCTAAGGCCAAATTATTTCCAATTGTAATGATACTTTCTAAAATGTAAATTAAAACTTAGCTTTTAGATTTATTTCTAGTATTTGCCTTATTGTCATTGCCTGTGTATGATCAATTAAAGAAACATGCTCACCATGCTTAAGTTCTTTAGAGCTCTTCTTTTAGAGGATAGAAGTCATGGGTACATGTAATTTTTTTTTGTTAGTTTAGGTTTTTTGTTGTTGTTTTTTTGGTTTGGATTTTTGAGGGGTTTTTGTTTTATGAAAACCATTTACTGTTGCATTATGTGGAGCTTGGATGTAATTAACAGGACATCCTTGCAGTTTATGATACGTTTTTACTTCCTCAACTATCAAAACAATCACTTAACTGTCTTCTCACATGTACTAGTTAGTTGAGAATCAAACATAAATGCAAAAAAAAAAAAATTTAAAAATTACTGATAATTTTTACGAACTTGGAACTGTTAATAAAAATTATCTGAAGTTCCACTAATATGTTTGCAAAGAACTGAAGTTCCACTAATATGTTTGCAAAGAGAATGCTTTTATTTTCTGGAAAGCTGTATAGTGCTAGCTGAAATTTAATGGTTTTATTTAATACTAGCATAAAATTAATAAATTACTCAAGTTTCTTGTGTTGCAAGAAGTTTCACTGATGTGTAAATTTTAGACTCAGTGAAATTAATTATGATCTCCTGAAAAGTAAATCAGAGATGCAAACTTCTATAAAAAATGCACTGATCTAGTATACACTGGCATAATATTTCAGAAATTCATGAGGTCTGCTTCTTCATTAAAACAGACTTCATCAGAAACAAGAAATATTTTTAAAGGCACCTTTCCCCTTAAACATTGGAGGGTGACTTGTGGAAGTAAGCAATTGAAAAGCCTGCTTTGTTTTATTTGAATGGTTAATTTTGAACCAAGAGACAAAAAAATGCAAATGTAAAAAAACAGGTATATGTAAGCAGTGCCTAAACACTTTTGCTAGAAATAGATTTGTGATTCTCGCTATGGTCATATTGTTAGGTGCTTTTGCTTAATGAAGTTACATTTTGAATAATGCTAATTTGTCAACGTCTGTTCTGATTTTGTCCTGAAAGTTTCCCTTTATCTCTACATCTTTGTCAACCATGCTAGACACAAGACTGCCTTTCTCTAATGCAAGGAGCGGGTTGAGCTTCAAGAAAGAATTTGAAGGTGTAGGCAGGAATAGTGGCAAACTAGTTAATTAAATGTTTCCAGATTTTTTGCAGAGCAATGAGTTGTGTTGACATTCATACATGATTCTTGGAGTCTGCTGTCGAGCCAAGTAGATTTACATTACAGTGGGGAAAAAAATCAATGACACAAACAGCTGCAAAATGATGATAAATCTTGTGGAAGTAGGGGGAGATAGCAAGTTTACACACTTTTGAGGACAAGCATGAGAGAGAGAATCAAAAGGCAAACAGCTCAGCAGTGTGTACCCTCTGTTGTTACCACATGGGCTGGCAGAAAATGGAACTATCTGGCAAAGTCCTCAATATGCATTAAGTCAAATCTAGCATAATAATATCAAAGACAGTGCTATTTTTTCTCTTATTTACAGGTTTGTTAAACATTGGAATGGTGGAGTCACCATCCCTGGAGGTGTTAAAGGAAAAACTGCATGTGGCACTCAGTGTCATGGTATGATTTATAAGGTGGTGGTTTGTCAGAGGTTGGACTGATAATTTCAGTGGTCTTTTACAACCTCAGTGATTCTGTGATCCTGTGATTTTCATGTTGACAAAGGGATTTATGTACATTTAAACTGCCAAGTGTTCTTTTGCTGTTAATATCATATTTAGTCTTGTAATTGCATCTTCAAACTATTCTAATTTTTCCATGTGTAAACTGTCTTTGTATTGAAAGTTTCCCATTTAAAATGCACGGGTAGACCTTTTCTTTCAGCCTAGTAACAAATTCTTAGTTTGTGGATAAGCACAAGAATGAACTTGAGTTGTAGATTCTTCTGTTGTATTAGGGACTGAGGTGTGAAATGATACTCCAGCTAGCGACTGTACATTGATTTATCCATTATTTTGTTTAGCTTTTGATTTTGTTAAAATCAATTTTTATTTTAAAATTTTTATTGTATGTCTCCATGCAAAATTTAAGAGTCTCTGTAAGTCATTTGGTTTAGAGCACCACACTTTAGGAAGGATGTGAAGATGCTGGGATGCACCCTGAGGAGGGCAGGGGAGCTGGTGGAAGGGCTGGAAGGGCTGTCCTGTGAGGGGCAGATGAGGAGTCTGGGTTTGTCCATTTTGGAGAAAAGGAGACTGAGGGGTGACCTCACTGCTCTCTGCAGCTTCCTGGGGAGGTTGTTTCAGAGGCAGTTGGATAATGCTCTTAACATTTTTTTGGTAAACCCAGAAGTGGTCAGGCAGTTGGACTAGATGATCATTACATGCACTTTTCAATACAAAATATTCTGTTCAATTAATAAATAAATAGATGTATTGTAATTGCATTTCAGAGGGCTTTCTGTTGGGTTTCAGCCAAATCTATGAACATCTGTAAAGATTTCCTAGGATTCTCTGGAGTGTATTCAGTTCAGTGTGTTAACCATGTTACAGTCTTCCTTAGCTTAATAAATTGAGTATGTTAAAACAAAACAATCTTTCATTATAACACTGTTCTTTCTACATCGTGCTATATTCATTTGTCACCTACTTTGACATTTCACTCGGTGTTTTAGTTAGGCTGGTGTGTTAGCATTTTAACGAATGATTCAGAAAAATAATTTAGTGTAAATTTGCTTTTATTGCTTCAATATGAAAATATTTTTAAATGGTTTATTATGTTGATATATTTCTGTACAGGAAAATCATAGGATGGTTTTAATTTATCCTCCTTTAGTTGTGTGCTAGGATGATACCTCTCTTGCCGAAGAAATTTCTAATATAAAGCTATAAACTGGTAGTCTAATACATGGATATTTTAAATATAATTATCAGTAACATATTCCTTTGATTTGTTGAAAAGTAAATGAGAATTGAGAAAGAATAATTTGTTATGTGATCTCAATTCTTTGAGTGGAACTGTCTATTAGGAAAAAAACCCAGACTGAAATGGGAAGAGGTCAGAAAAAAATTTGATTACAAATTCAGATTGCTCATCACATTTTTTTTTGCAGTCTTTATTGCATAGTAGTAATTCACTGTCAACTGTTTTTTTGTGTTAAGCTATTTCTATTCCTCTAAAGAATGTTTTAATTTTACACTTTAAGCCCTCATATTAACTAACTTGACAAAATGCTTTTTTCTCCTTTAAGACAGATTAGACCTCACTAGTCTATCTGTACAGAAACTTGTATCAAAGACAATGAGTTTTCTAGATGCTATACATTTGTAAAAGATAAAAAGGATGAACTAGAATGAACCTAGGACTTTTCCTCTGGAGAGTTACAGTTTTATCTCTTTTTTTACAAATTATAAACAGTAGCTCTGCATCTACCTAAGAAGAATGTTTGGGGTTTTGCATTCCTAAATAAAGTATAATATATCCTTCCTGAGTCAATAGTCACATTTTATTAAATTATGAAGTTTTTTTTTTATTAAAATTGAGAATGATTTTTTTAGTAGTAAAAGTTTCTGCATTTATGTAACTTCCTTGAAACAATATAATTCCATTCCATAACAGCCTAATCCTGTATCCTATAAACAGACTGGCACTATTAGAATGGCAGTGGCTCTGCAGAACTGAATTGGTAAATAAGAGTGGAATTACTAGTCTTTTACTCTGTTATTTGTCTGGAGTGCAGTCTTCACAGAGTGTGGAAGCTTTCACAAAATCTTAAAATGTGCATACATGACAAAAGCTGGTAGGAGTAGGAATGTGACACTTTACAGTAAGTAGAGGTAGACAGACAAGTTTTTCAGCTATAGTTACAGGTTCTATGAAGAAAGATGCATATACACTCTCATGCAAGAAGAGGTTATGAAGAGGTTAAAGAATTTTATGTAAGGCTGTAAAGTCTGAAAATGTGTTTAAAATTTCTTTTTCCTTTGCATCTCACTGAAGGACAATTATTTGAGTCCATGTATTCTGTTGATCAGACTTGCTACTATGAAAAGCATAGAAAAATTAGAAAGTGAAAAACCTAATGATTTCCATATGTTTACACATTTACAAAATACCTGTACTCTTTGTAAAAGGAAACTCCTTGGAAATGTAGCACTTGAAGCTGTTCATGGAATGTAAAGGTCAGCTTTTTAAGAACAGTTTTACTTAGCTTTTTCTGGGGAGTGAGAAGGAGCCAGTTCTCTTAGAGACTCTTCTCTAAAGAGACGAAGAAGCTGTTTCTCTAAACAGGCTTTATTTCATATTTTCTTTTTCCTAGGTTGGCTGAAGACTTTTGATGATTACTTCAGAGATCAGACACAGCATATTTTAAATAATATGGTTATAAAACTGCAAGAAGACAACCGAAGGAAATTTTTATGGTCTGAGATTTCTTACTTTTCCAAATGGTGGGACGGAATAGATAGCCAAAAAAAGGATGCTGTTAAAAGGTTTGAATAGTGAACTTTTCTTCCGTGTATCTTGTTTTGAGACTTTGTGTATTTGACTGCACTTGATTTTTACACCTGTAAACTTGAGATATCACTTGTGATGCAGAACAGTTGTAATAATCAACTGCTTCAGCTCTGACTTCTTGGGCTTGGGTTTTCTCCTAGCTGCAATCTAGAAATCTGCTCAGAGAAGTGGAGACAAATTACTGAATTGCCTAAAAATTTGACTAAAAGCTCCCATGTACCACCATGAACACGTCATTCAAATTGTAAAGGAGTAGTGATCATAATCTTTATTTGAAATCACACTAAGGAATTTGCAATAAAATAAATACAATCTTTCATACTAGCTATTTATATATGATATTTTTTCCTTGCTATAACGCATATGAAAATTTTGTAAGATTTTTATTTGAATAAAAATTTGTGAGTTTCTTTTATGTTTAAGTACAAAGGCTTTTTATAAACATGCAGCTGCTTTAATGGTAAAGTCATACGTACTCCACTCCCCTGGCTGTTAGTCTTTTTTAAAATCACAAGTCAAAATGGAATATAGAAGTAAAAGGTTTGCGTAGGCATTGAGACAAGGAAGCAGGCTGTTTGGATGAATTTGCAACATGGATCTAGTTTTGAGTTTTAAAAAGTTGGGAACTTTTTCCTTATTTTTACTTGGTTTTAAGACGTGATCTGACAGTTCTTAGCTCATCCTTGTGATGGCCTCCTTCTCATGCCCCTCTTTGAGGAGCATGTGTTGCAGTTTGCATTAAGTCCGTGACATCTTCACAGCTGCAAAAGTTAGGTAAAGGTGGAAATCTTGGGATCTAGGTAAAAAACCTACTTATTAAAAAAATTATGTACAGTGGGTATTAGAGCACAGCTGTGCATTTTTTTGACATTAAAAATATCTCTTGGAACACAGTAAACAGTAAATGATAATCACTAGGGAATTATGTCCTCTCTTCAGAGGAGTCAGGTATTGGTCAAACTGCACTTGAGGCTGGAGAAGACTGGAGAAGAGAATCTCAAGCTGCACTTGAAATTATTTTTATTGCATGCTTTTCATTACTCTTGTGGGTATCATCTGTGGTGGGACTAACTTTTTATGAGTTCACCGTGTTTTTTTCTTGAATTCATTAAGCAATTCTACACTGGCGAACAGTGTAAGTGTTGAAACTGTAGGGACAACCTGATGCTGGGAGAGCCATTTTTATGTTCTCTGACAATAGAGACTGGGTTGTACTGTGACCTGTTTCAAGAAGCCATTTTAATGAGTGAGATGTTCTGAAGCCTTTATAAATACAATAAACTTCCAAGATCTATCAGCTCTCTAAAACTCTAAAAAGAATATTAGATCAAAGATGGGGCAAGATTAGCAATGCTTGAAATGTGCAAGCATCTTGAGTGTATAAGCATCTTGCTCAGTCAGCCTTCAGTGCTGTGGCACATATATTTTATTTTTGTAAGCTGTACAGAAGACAGCCTTGTTTTACTGATCTTTATAAAAATCTAATTTGGCATATGCAGTAGAGTTGGTTTTCATTGCACAGGGACATTAAATATTTCACTGTTCAACAGTTCATTTTTACCCTTGATTAAAGAAATATAGGCAAGTGATGGAAGTAGCATAAACAATTTAGATTTTGGAATCGCATTGCTGGTAAATGCCTGTTGAGTATACAGAAATTTATTTTAAGAGTGTGTCTTCATATGGAAGATTCTGAAAATGATTTATGTTATTTTTCAGGTTAATAAAAGATGGACAATTTGAAATAGTAACAGGAGGGTGGGTCATGCCTGATGAAGCTTCTGCTCATTATTTTTCTTTAATTGACCAACTGATAGAAGGACACCAGTGGCTAGAAAAGAACCTTGGTATGTATATTAATCTAAAATTTAATTATGTTAATATAAGAAGTCAATAAGAAAATACTTTTTTTTCAAAAGTCTGAGGTGTTTAGAAGGTTCTCTTTTTTCACTCAGCTTTCCTGAAACATTAAATCAGACCATTTACAGGAAGCTGTAGGAATCAAGTCTGGTATTTGCCATTCCTGCTTGCAGATAAAAAGTTCCTGGACAAAGTGTATTTGAATAATTTTATGCCACAGCACTTTGTCCTGATCAGTGTAGACATGCATATTATATTGGCATAGCCAAATATTAACGCTAGATCATGCTGAATTTTAGCTCCTATGTCTGCTCTAAACAGTATTTAATTGTCTTTTCTGTCATTTGAAAATCATGACAAAATTTTTAAAACAACTTAAAAATTGATACAGTTTTTATCTGCTTGGATCTATTCTGCCTGCTCTGTGTGTATTAATTTCTCTCCTGTAAGGCTTTAAAAAAAAAATAAATTTTATGCAGCATTAGTAGTTATAAAGTCTAAACCTATAGCAATGTTAGAATTGAGGAATTACTGACAGCAGTTACATTGGCTGAACTGTTTTGCTGGCTTTGGGATCTTCTTTTGTTTAGTTCCGTAAGAAGAGAGAAACCTTTTTATATAGAAAATACTTGTACAGTGATTTTAATAATAAATTGACGTGATTTCATTCAATTAACTAAAATTATTTTGGACAGCTGTTTCACTGTTTTTCTTAGATTGCAATTTCCATAAACACAGCTTGACTTAATTGGAGGGGGAAGGGAAGACTTAATAAAAGAGTAATGCATTCCTTACTGTTCTTTTTGGAACGACAGTAAAAAGTGCCAAAGGAATCATATTGATGTTAATTAAACAAGAGTTAGATGTAGCTTCTTTATTTACTAGGATGAAGTTCAGTGAGAAGAGTGTATTAATCAACATGATTCTATTGATCAACAAACTAATAAATAATAAAAAAATAGTTCTGAAGCAAAAAAACCCCCATTATTTAAATAACATCAAAATGTCAACAAACTACTGCATTTATCCATCCACATCCACTCATTTTCTTTCAACTTTTTTTGATTGCAACAGTTGTAAACTACTTTAAATGAAAGAGGATGTTTATTAATTAATGATTCCAAATAAAGATGTTTGATGCAAATTTGAAACAGTGTAGCAACAAGGAGTACTATTTTAATAGTTAATACTTACCTGGGTATATCATCTTGGAAATGTTATCTTTAGTACTCTCATTTGAATTATTGGAATAACTTTCTTTGAGTGGAAACTTTCTTCCCTTCTTACTTTTTTCTTTTGTCAACAGGAGTAAAACCAAAGGCTGGATGGGCCATTGATCCATTTGGGCATTCACCAACAATGGCCTATCTTCTGAAGCGCACAGGATTTTCCAATATGCTTATACAGAGAGTTCATTATTCAATAAAAAAACATTTTGCAACAAAAAAGACACTAGAATTTTTTTGGAGACAGAACTGGGGTATGTGTTTTTCCTTCATGTCGATTTATTTTCTTAATTTATACAGATAAATTAGGAAGAGAACTTGAATAAGTACTGTGGAAATATTTCCAGAAGAGATTTAGCAGAGTTTCTCTAAACCTGAAAATTTTAAACTTGCAATTCTGTTAAAAAACAGCTTAAATTTAGGAGATTTTTGTTTCTTTGTTTTTTTCTTCTTTGAATAACAGAAGGGGAAATGGGAATATCTGTGAGTTAGGAAAGGCACTAAATGTAAATGCGATATTATTGCCTTTGTTCCTCTGATCTTCCTTTCTTTTCACTTTTGTTTTTGCTTTTACCCTCTCTTGTTTTTTTCCATTCTTTCATATTCCTTGCAAGTATACATAAGAAAAGTAAAAGGTGTGAAAAATTCTTTCACTTGTTTTTACTTTTTTTCTTCCTCCTACTCCTTTATTTCCTATTATATGGAAAAATGTGTAGGAGGAGGAGCATTTCAACCAATTCAAATATTGTGCTAATGAAGCAGTGACAGTAGGGTGATTGGCTTTTGTTTTTTTTCTTTGTTTTGTTTGTATGTTTAGCTGTTTTAAGTTGTTTTAATCCACTCGAAGTATAAAGGATGTGTTTTATTACTTCTAAAATTCTGAAAATCACAAGTTTTATCTGGGTTAAACACACCTAACATTTGTTCCTGCCTTTCCCAATAAGCTGGGGCTTCACTGGCACGTTCCAGTCTTCTTGTATCTCTGTTTTTACCCTCTTTATGCATATAAGGTATGTGCAATAATAGACTCGAACTATGGATATTCAAAAAAAAAAAAAATCGTCCTGATGTGGTATCTTTCCAGTGCAATCCTTGGACTGAGCATGTGGAAGTGATTTACTTTTGACAAATCTGAGAGGGTTTATTTTTAAGTTTCACTCTATTTAATTCCAGATTTGGGATCCAGTACAGATATTCTTTGTCATATGATGCCTTTCTATAGCTATGATGTTCCTCATACTTGTGGCCCAGATCCGAAGATCTGCTGCCAGTTTGATTTCAAACGGCTTCCTGGAGGAAGAGTAAGTTGCCCTTGGAGAGTCCCACCAGAAACCATTCATGCTGGAAATGTTCAACACAGGTACAGTTTTTACATACTCCTCAAGGGGATAACCTTAAAAAAAAAGTAATTATGCTGGTCAAAGATGACACCTGGCACAGCTTAGTGAATTTAATTCTATTGTGGTTCAACCCCAGTGAGCAGCTCAGGTCTGCTAAGCTCACTGTCACCATGGTGGGGTGGTGAAGAGATACAGAAGAATAAAATGAGAAAACTCATGGAGACATACAGGAGAGGTCTTGGCTCTGTGAGCCCTGCTCAGAAATAACAAAATCATGTCTCTGTTGTCAACCCTGTCATCAGAGCAAATCCAGATCACAGCACCATACTGGCTACTGTGACTCTACCCCAGCCAAAACCAGTGCAAGTTTTTAAAATAAGCCTGTCATGGCTAAACAATAACCTAGTGTTTGCATCTTAGTTGGGAACATAACTGTCAATGAAATTAGAGGAAAAGTTAGAGTTAGCAAGCTGTCACTCTATTGGGAATGGTGAGAAGAACGACACAGACTCTCTTGTGAGTTGAACAGGAGAGCAGAGCTTATTATTCTCAATCTTCTTTTACAGACATGTTTGAGAAAGTTCGAGAGGTAAAACTCTCATTGGTCATTAAAGCAACACATCTACCATCATTGGTTATGGTTAAGTGTAACATCACTCCTTGACTGTTTCCTAAACACCACCTGCAAAGATTGTTGTCCTTTACTAAGGACTGTTTGGATTCTTTTTCATGCTTTCTCAGGCCAGAATGAGAAGTCTGTGACTTAGTTTCACACAGGTTCTGTTCTTTTTGCATTTAGCATCCACAGCAAGGGGCATTTTTAAAAATTTTCTGTTAATGATGTGTGAGTCAATCTGTGAATGACATTTTCTGATTATCTGGTTGAACTCATTTTACTGGTTTACTATGGTTTTTCTGAATTTTATGAACAGCGATCTGTCCCCTACAAGTGGAACACTTCAGGGGCAGCATGAAATACTGATGTGCTGTAACTACAAACAGTGGAATATTTTCCATGGTATATCCTTGAAAAATTTGGCCTAAGTTTCCTGAAGTGTAAACCTGAAGTTTCCTGTTTCCTTGTCCCCGGAGTGGAAATTCCTATTAACCTCAGTTTTAGTTTTCAAACAGAAACACTGATTTGTTTTGTTAATTTGTTGTTGTAAATTTGATTCAGTTAAATTTACAAATTTACAACTTCTACAAGTTTACACTTGTAAAATTTACGCTTCTACAAAAATTTACACTTCTACAAAACTGCCTCTCAATTTTGGGTGACAGGGGTGGGGGCTGGAGGTGGGGAGTTGGGGAGGGGGAGTAAAGGAAGAAAAAAAGAAAAAAAAAAAAACCAAAGGGGAGAAAGTTAAACTGCCAAAGGTTTTTTCCAGAAAATGGTGTTATTCTATGGTCCTGTTGCTGTCTTCAGGCTTCACACTATACCAGGTTTCCAGAGTTAAATGTAGAGGTAGCTGTTTGTAATTTGTGCAAATCACTGAGTGTAACAAATATTTTAAGAACAGGGTGACCTTTTTTGTCTTCAATGCTGAAGTTTTAAAGTGATGATGTGATGATGACGCACTGCTTTTCTACATGTCAAGTATGCATTGCTTTTTTTTCTGAGTAAGAATTCTGACAAGCATCATGAAAACTTCACATAAACACACAGTTAGAAAATATTACTGAAGATAAAACCAAAATTAAACATAATGCATTACAACTGCTGTATTTAAAGGTAGAAATTGGAATGATGATAGGAAAAAGGGGGTTTTATTAAAGTAGAGAAAAGAAATATGATGGTGACAGGAGAAATGTAGAAAAATTGTGGCACACACCGTGCCTATTATATATGAAGGAAAATTCATATGTCATTAAATTCAAGTTGTAAAAAGAAAAATCTTGACTACATATCTCAATTAGCTGAGACAAATATTTGCAGAAGAGCAACAGCTTGTTTAACAAATACCTGAAGCATAGATGTTATAAATATAATTTAGAGTGTCTGCTTGAAATAGTCTTTTTAAGGGTCTTGGTTTTTAATTATTCTTAATCCCTGTGCTTCCAAGATTCAACCTTTGCATAACAATCTAAACTAGACCTTGTAAAAGAAATGGGTTTTCACATACCAAAGGATAAGAGTAAGATAAATGGGGCAGGAATGTAGTGAACATATGATCAAGTTGAAGTGATTATTGTCTCAATATGGTCTCTGAAACTTAATAGTTTGCATGACCTTTATTTAGATAAAAGCAGTTTTGGTGTCAAACAGGGAGTTGAAACATCAGTATGTTATACCTAAAGAGAAAGTAAAACTAGGACTTGGCCTTAGAATTGGAATCTTGGATTATTTACATTTGACACTGGAACCTCATTTTAGTGTCTAGCTTCAAATAAACCCACTAAAACACAGTAATGTTTTAATGGACAATGCTAAAACACTACATGTATTTTTTGAAAAAGTTGGAATATTGTAGAAAACCAAAACGTTATTGATCTGACCTCTGTAATAGGTTTTAAAATTTTTATGATGAGGAGATGTATAAGTTTTACATATCTTTATCTTTACATCATAAGTTTTTCAAGGTTGTAGGTTTGCCCTTCAGTTTTTTTATCTTTGTGGTCACATTGTATGGTCATGTGGTGGTTAATGTTTGTGATTGCCTGCCTCAGTGATTGCTCCTCTCCCTTTAAGGAAGGAATTTAATTTAATTTAGGAATTCTTTCCTAACAGAAAGTGTCAAAAGCAGCCATGTTTCTTGTTTTGGTATTTATTTACTCAAATACTTATTTTTTTGCATTAAAAGAAGTTGTGATACAAAAGTATTTTCTTTATTTGTGAAAGGTCTCAAGCATTCAGTGATAATCTGAAAGTTTGAAACCAAAAAGTTTATCATGGCTGATCTCCTGTGTGGTTTTCAGATTTTCATTCAGTGAGGCAGGATAAACATGTCAAAATGTATCTAATTCTGTTTCACTGGGGAACAACAAAGGGAAGAAATTTATGAGGCTTGTTGGAATATTTTTTTTCTCCAGGGATATTTTTTTGTCTTCACCGTGCTCTGTTTAGAGCTTTCTGCTGGCACTTTCACACTCCTGTATTAATGAATGATTTAGGAAGTTATTTGAGAGAAGTTTAGAAGATTATACCTGAATTGATGTTCTTCGGTGTTTTTGCTAAATAAAAGTGGTTTGCAATGGAGGAAGATCTTGCTGTCCCTGCTGATGAATTTTGCAGGTTATTTGGAAAGAAACTAGAGGACAGCTTTGAAGAGAGATGTGAAAGTCAAATATCCTGTTAATTGTAACCTGTATTTTTCAAGAGACTGAACACTAAATTATGTTTTCAACCATAACTATATATGGAAAATTTGAGTTAGACTGGCTTCTTAGAAGGAAGCATTGACAAGTCTTGTTCTGGTAGCTGTGTGGTGAGGAACCTTTTGTGTTTAAATTTTACAGCCTGTTGAAACTTGTGGAAATTATTGATAGGTGATCTGAACCATAAATTCACTAATAGATAGGGGATTGGGGGGCCAGCTACTAGTTCGGTAAATTCTAGTCTCATTAGAACTCTGTAGATCCTTAACTAAATTTAATATTGTGGCCCCTTTCTCCCTCCAGAATACAGTCAGATCTTGTGTTTATACAGGACTTCTGCAATCAGATAAATGAGTAAGCCCTGACATGCTCTTCGAAGAAATAGGTGTTTCAAACACATAATTTAGAATTTCTGCATAAATGTTTATACAGCATTTCTTCAGGGGTATGAATTGAAAGGTGATTTTGCAGGATCATCTATTAATAAGACATGAAAAAACAGAAGAACCTCATTAGAATCTGAATTTTCTGCTATTTTGTCTTTAAAGCCTTGACATTTGTATTTCTGTTTTCTGAAATATGTTACTTTGGTGTATATTTCCTATGAGAATTATTTACATGATTTTAATTAGAGGTGTCAGCATCTGAAGATGCTGGTAATTGTGACTTGGAGGGGGAGGGTTGAAAATGTACTTTTACAGTAACCTGTTTATCAGACTTGTGATTCTTAATATATTGCTGCTGTGGAACTGGTACTTTGCCTAGAATTAGTAGGTGCCAAAGAATAATTCTGCAGTTTTTTCTGTGTATGCCTGTGTGAGTATTTTGTTTCTGGGTTGTTTGGTTTTTTTGGGTTTTTTTAAGGCAAAAAGTATGAAAGCAGTGGTTTTAATTTTTCGGGACTCAAGGATTCAAGAGGGATGGCTCTAAGATGTGTAAGAAGCTGCTTGAAAGGAGAACAGTGATTTTTAGCAGCAAACTTCCTCCTGAATTTATTTTATTTGCAAAGCTGGAGTTCCTCTGAGATTAATTTGTGGGCAGTTTTTCTGCCAAGGACATGAAGATATGAAGCAAAATATCAAAGAAAGTGCCAGAGAGGGTGGGAAGAGCTGTCTTGTTATTGTAAATAGAGGCTGGGAGGATTAGGATTATTATCTAAATATAAAGCAGGTAAACATAATTTGAATTGTAGGTTAGTTTTGGCACAGGCACAAATTGATCCAGACTGTCCTATTACTTGAGATGAAGCTTGATAAGCTTGATAAAACTTGAAGGATTTAATTAGCATAGTGTTTGCAACAATAGTAGATTGAATATGGTGTCCCAGCAGGGGGAATTGCATCCAGCTTTTTTGTTACAACGGTAGATAACAGAGTCATGTATGTCTTGTTTAGGGTCACCCTAATGTACAACTTGATATCCAAGAATTGTTTTGCCAAATGCTGGCTTTTTTCCCTCTGTCTTCTGAATTATTTTTTTCTTTCCTCAAGGGCTTGGATTATATTAGATCAATACAGGAAGAAGTCAAAACTTTTCCGTACGAAAGTTCTGTTAGCTCCACTTGGGGATGATTTCCGCTATGCTGAGAGCTCAGAATGGGATCAGCAGTACCATAATTATCAGAAGCTGTTTGATTATATGAATTCTCGTTCTGAGTGGCATGTTAAGGTAACTACAACACATTTTCTGGTTCATGGGGAAAACACTATTTCCCAGTATTCTGAGATTCTTCATGGGAAAAACAGTTGTGGTTAAGTTTGAGTTTTTTTCAAATGTGAAACTTTATATTTTATTTAGCAGGAGATTGATGTGTCTTGGTAGCTTACATTTTTTTCACCTTTACCATCTTCTCTCCCCAAAAACCAAAACCTTTCCTATTAATAATATCGTCTTGAAAACTATAGATAGTTTCCAAACCAGGTTAATTTGGAGAACAGGTTTAGCTGTTTTCTTGTGCTCCTGTTTTCACAGGCTTCAGGCATTGTTACTCAGGACTTATAGGCTTTGTTATTAAAACTATTATATTTTCTTATTAGAAGTTCAAGAAGATTTTTCTGCTTTATTTGCATCCTCTTGGTCTTACATCCCAAAACAAACCAAAAAATCTTAAGAGATGCCATTGCTGACACATATTGTTGAATACAATGAAATCCAAGACTGACCTGACTACAAAAGGACTGAGTATACTAACACAATTATTAGAGGAGGTACCAATTCAAATCAACAATTATGTGTAAAACACACATTCATATGCTCTAATGTGTAAGCTGATGGCCCTAGGGACTTGTACTATAGATGTTCTCTGTATTCCAGCAACTTTTCATCATCTTTGCATGCATTTTTTGCATGACAACAACAAATGGGGGTCACAGCCTTGGGTTTTTTGAGTCACCTGAGAGTGATAAAAAGCACTTTTACGGCTTTCATATTTGGGGTTTTTTTTTCAACCTGGTCTGGTATCTTTCATATGGTTTGCTCATGTATCTGGTTTTCCTTGTCTTTTCTGTTACCTCCCCTGGTTCTTCCAACAGTGCATTTGAGTAGTGCCTGTAGTCTGTTATTACTCTCTGCTGACTTCTGGACTTGTGTTCTGCCTAAGAAAGATGATATTTTGGGATTATATTTTATCTGAAAACTGGATTTTGTTTTGGATGTGTTTCCTCTGGGATGTGGATGACATGATGTATGGTGATGGACCACTATGTCTTAGTGGAGGGAGACAGACCTGGAGAGTACTCTTCAAATTTTTTAAACCTAAAGCCATCTTTTAAAACTTAAGCTTGCTGCTATCACTAGCTTTACTTCTGCCAAAAATGTATGTACTCTATAGGTACTCTTTGGATACTAACAGCAACATATTTTCTGTAGTTCTTACTAACCTGGACTGAATGATTTTGTCTCTGGGGCAAAAACTGAAGGTCTAGCTCTGAAGCCACTCTTCAAGGACCAATGCTGTCTTTAGACTCTTGGAAGTTCCTCTCCTGAAAAGAAAAATGACAATCCCATTGTCAAGGATTCTAGCAGTCTACTTCATTAGGCTAGATGTGCTCATCTGGAGTCACCTTAACCCTTGGTTCCCTCATGGAAGTATCGGAAACCTTTTTCTGGTTTTTAATACCCAGACAAAAAGATATTAAAACCTCTGGGTCAGTCACTTCATACCTATTTTGGTCAGCTGAAAGTCTGTTGGCATCAGAGCATTTCTCCTTTCCATTGTATTCAGATACTTAGGTTTTTTGCTCTCTGGGTTTGTTTGTTTTTTTTTTTTTTTCCTTTCTTTCTTAGTTGTTTATTGTCTGCCTGTTGGGGATTTTTTTTTGGTGGTTGTTTGGTTTGATTATTTGTTTTTTTTGAAACTGATGTCATTCTTGAAAACATGAGCTTAAATGGAGAACTTTCACACTGTTCTGCACTTTTCCTAGTGGAATGTAACTCCACAGGCAAGTAGCAGGACATGCTCAGCTATGTAAGAATCTATATTATATAAAGGAAGAGTTGACATTTTTCCTGAAGTACTGAGTTGCCTGGGATATTACTGCTTACACAAGGGAGTGCCTACTTTGCCTCTCTGATCTGAGGAGAGATTTGCTCTTTCAGACAGCTCTTTGTGATGTTTATCTGGTGGATATGTCTGTTAGCATTGAGATTCTCCTGCCAGCCACTATTCTGTTCTGCAGGTATGTGGTACATCACTGTAAAACATACCTATTTCGCTCTTGAGGAATTCAGTCTCCTATCCAGAGATCTCCTTTGCATCTATTATACATAAAAGAGGCTGAATCTTTTTGTATGCCAATAGAATACTGGGTTTTCACTGTTTCCTTTCACCTGACTTTGATACTTCCTCTGGTGAGGTTTTACTCCTCTGCTTCAATGCAGAAGTGAGATCATCTCTGTGTCTTCTCTTGGTGCATTGGTTTTGTTTTTTGTTTTCTGCTTGTAGGTGCCTATGGCAGTGAAAGAAAACATCAACTATCCTAGAAGTGCCTGATAAGACAAGGTTTACCAATGATGGGATTTCAGGGGCAATATTTATCTTTTTCTGCTTTACTGCCATTTGAAGTGGCAAGTCACCATGTTATATCCACCTAATAAATACTTGGATGATAAATAACTTTGAAGTGAAAGCGTTTGGGGTTTTTAAAATGATTAAAAAGTGTGATTTTGTTGTCACATTGATAGTCTGATAGTCCTTATATTCCAAGTCACTTTTAAAAGATTTTTACTGAAACTTGGTTTTGGTGTTGTAAATCATAGTATGCTACATTGTATACTTGTTAAAAATAATAATAGTAATAGGAAATAAAGTTACTTGATTTTATCTTTATAGTTTATGTTGAGGATATTTCTGGTAACATAATGTGGTCTTCTGTCCTGTTCCAGCTTCCATTATGTTTTATTTTCACTTTCATTCAAAATCCATTTTGTCCTCTATGCCTTCTTTAACAGCATTTCTCAATACTAATAACATTGACATCAATAATTTATTTTCTCTCTTTTTTTATTGTTGCTCTGAATCTTGAGGATACCATTTTTGACCTACCGTGTAAAGATCTGCTATTACAATGCCTGAGCATTTCTTAAAATAACCAGAAGATAATTAATTTCTTTTTTTGCATGTTACATCTCTAAATGCAGTTTCTTTGTACATAGCTTAAGCAACCAGCCTCTGAAAGCAAACACAATTTTTTTTTTTTTTTTGGATCAACAGTCATCTTTTGGGTTAAGCAAGATCTGGAGCACAGGAGAGCTAATTCTGAAAACACAGGATTAGGAGAACTATGTTTTTGTTGCATTAAATTAAATTTCTTACTTAGCCTAGAAAGCTATGTGGGTAATATTGAGGTATTACTTAGCTTGTGTATTGCAGATTTACTCATAAGATACAAAACAATGCTTCACTTGTTTGTTGACATGTTTCATTTAGATATTGTTTTATATATTTAGGTATTTATTTTATATATCTATTTAAATTTAAAAAATAATAAAATCATATTTCATAAGTTGTAGAATGGTTTTGGTTGGAGGAGACCTTTAAAGCTGTCTCATCCAACTGCCCTGCAATAAGCAGAGGCATCTTAAATTAGACCAGATTGCCCAGAGTCCCATCCAATCCAGCCTTGAATGTTTCCAGAGATGGGGCATCCGCAACCTCTGCGGGCACCTTGAGTGCATCGCCTCCCTCATATTAAAAGTTGACTTTCTATCTAGTCTGAATCTATCTGCTTTTAGTTTAAAACCATTACCTCTTGTTTTAGCACAAGAAATCCAACTCAAAAGCCTGTCTTCATCGTTCTTACAAGGCTCTTTTCTGTACTGAAAGGCTGCAGTAAGGTCTCCCCAGAGCAGTCTCCTCTCCAGGCTGACCAGCCACACCTCTCTCAGCTTTTCCTTGTAGGGAAGGTGTTTCTCTGATCACTTTTATAACTCTTCTTTGGACATGCTCCAACAGATCCATCTCTTTCTTGTACTGAGTCAAATTGCCTTTTTTGAAAATACTTCTTTACTGACTTTTGAAATGCTATCCAATTTTGTCTGAAAAATGTGCAGGGGAACTTTAAAGATTTTTAGGATAGGCCTTCTATAAATCTGCTGGAAGAGTGGCATGTTTCTGAAATGTATTTCCAAGCATATTAATTTTCTTCGTATTTTCTGCATAATAAAAATGGAACTTCATTGCAGTAATTTTTATTTTCATTCAGGCCCAGTTTGGAACTTTGTCTGATTACTTTGAAGCTCTGCGCAGAGAAAGCAATTTGGGTGAAAAGAGCAGCAATTCACTTTTTCCTGTTGTAAGTGGAGACTTCTTCACCTATGCAGACAGAGATCATCATTACTGGAGTGGATACTTTACATCACGACCCTTCTATAAACGCCTGGACAGAGTTTTGGAATCCTACATAAGGTAAATCCTGCCATCCAGTACACTCAGAACCTGTTTCTTGGCACACAGGAGAGATGAATGTGTAAGTATTTGTCATGGTTTAACCTCAGGCAGCCCCTTGCTCACTTCCCCACCAGCAGGATCTTGAGGAGAATTGGAAGGGTCAAAGCTACAAACTCATGAATTGACAAAAAGGCAGCTTAATAGGGAAAGCAAAACCCACACAATGCATTCAAACCAAAGTAAGGAATTATGGCTATAGTGTGAACTTTTTTAGAGAAATACAAAGGTGTGAATTCAACAGAGGTTCTCAGAGGAAATTGAGAAATAACCAAAATATTGTGTACCAAGTTGTCACATACAGGTAAAACCTTACAAAAGAAAGGCCTTGTAAGATCATGATTCAGGCCTTGTTACTTCGGCTTAGTATAGCTAGCAGCTAGCCTGGTAAGTTCCCATGCAAAAACATCTTGAGAATGAAAAGTTTGTTAACATAACAAACTATTACTGGGGAAAAAAACCCAAGTGCACCTGTAATAATGAGGGATCTGTTCCATGAAAACAGTAGAAAAAGTGTGTGAACGCTGTTAGGGATAAAGTGTTGACTGACATGTACACTCACCATTACCAACCAGTGACCTGAGCTCCTGACCAACTGGGATTAAACACGGTGCCTTCTGATAACCATGTAAATATAAGCTGTGTGCAATAAAGACGGGGCTATGATGGAAGAAGAAACAGGTGTCACTGTCTGTCTCTACTGCGACATCTGGTGATCTACCACTACTGTTCTTCTGAAAACTGTCTACATTTTCATTAAAGAAAGATTGGTACTGAATTTTGGTAATGGAGTATTGAAGTGGGTCTCCCTTGTAGCAGACATAAGATGATTTAACTTATAAATAACTGTTATTAAGCTCCAGAAAGAAATCTAGGGCAGATGGATATGATGTAAACCCTGAACATTTCATGTGTAGCCTTCCTTAAAAGGATTACAACTTTTTGCTATTATGGATGCTGCAGTAGTGGAACGAGCAATAGAGGTGTGGAAAGAGGCATTTCCAAGTGAGCTTGGAAAGTAGTGTTTTGGAGGCAGATACAAGTACCTTTCAGAAGAGAAACTGTATCTAACAGAACTTGTTTTACTTCTTCCAAGAAATCCAGTTTTTACTGTGGGAAAGTGGATGATTCATTACAGGAATCTTAAATTTTCAGTGAAAACAACATTGTTTAATACTGTTGGAGAAGACATGATGCACAAGAGAACATGAAAAGCAGGACAGATAATATTCTTATAAATTGAATTATCTAGTTAATTGTTTTTTCATAGTTTTGATTAATTTCCTTTCTGTTTTTTAAAACGCACTAAGGATTTAATTTCCTTCAGCTTCATAATGTATTTTTTCAAGTTTTTTTAGGTGTGGTTAATTAATTGTCATTTTTCTGGTTTTTATAACAGAGATCGGAGAAAAATTCATATGAATTTGTAGTATTTAAAACTTTACATTATTAAAGAGATTCCTTAATTTAAACATTTCACCTACCTTTAACTTCTGAAAAAGTTATAGGTAAAGGATTTCTGGAGAAACACTAATCTGTCAATGTTCTTATGTGTTAAAGAATAGTTTAAAAAAGTACCTGTGGAGTTTTAATTTTTCATTATCCTTTTTAAATAACATGTAAAAATAAAATGTATAGATGTGTTCTCATTGTTTTAATATTATATTTTTTTGTCAGTTGTTTTCAGAAGCCATGAGAATCTTCATGAATGTCATTAGTTCTGAGAACAGCAGGAGTAGGGGTTTTATCTTTTATTTCTTTAAAGTCAAAGGAAATACAGTAGGATCATACTTAATCCTCAAACTCCTGAATTATTTCCATAGCATTTTTGAGCTAACATCCATCCATCCATCTATCTATCTGTCTGTCTATCTGGTGTATGTCCATATTTGTGAGGGAAGGAGCCATGAACAGAAGGTAAATACATGTGTGTGTGTTTTTTACCAAGAACGAATATTTTTAAGTTCCAGCAGTACCAGAATTAAGTAGCACTTCACTGTTATTTAATATCCAGGAAATAGTGTTCAGCCTCAGGACCCAATGTGAGAACTAACCATTGAGTGAGAAAAGAGATGGTTGTTAAAGGTTTTCCTGTTAGGAAAGAGTTTTTTTGGGGGTTGTGTAGTAAAGAACTGTAAGAAAGCTTCAGGATTTTATAATGAAGATTGACAGTGATTTGAGACATTATTGACTTTTTAATCTTAAGTGAAAGATGGATGGATTGAAGTAGTTTAAAGGGTGATAAAATATGTGACCAGAAGTTTATTTAATGTAATGAAAAAAGTACAGCAGCATAATTTGAGGCAAGTTAGGGACACAATCTGTGGTTTTATTAGTTACTGATGTAAACAGGGAAAAATTACAGTAAATCTGCAAAAAAATTATTGAAGTAATTTAGAAGATGAATACTATGGTGATACTTCTAACTATACAGATGGATAGAAAACACTACATCTGGAGAGTTCAAAATCTCTTGGCAAAATTTTTTATTTAGAATAAATATAAACTCGACCTAGCTAAGGTAATCCTTGGTAGTAAGGCAGGCCTGGACAAACCAGTGAAGCAAATTTTGATCTATTTGCAGTGTTCTATCAGGGGCAGATATTACAAATTACAGTGGAAAATTTCTGAAAACTATATTAGATCATCTGCAGTAGTTTGAAACAGAGGAGAGAGAGCCAAGGCTTTATATAGCTTTTATGGACAGTATTAGATGGTATTAGATGCTTGCCTTTAAACTGAAGTGTTTTCTAATAGAGTGTTGTGTTTCTGAATGTCCTTCATCATTGACCATTGAACCATTTTAGTGTTTAGAAAAATACTGAGACATGAAAAGAAAATACATCTGAGAGACATCCCCAATATTAAAAAAGGAATTAAATTAATATTGTTGTGGGGAAGGAGATCTCACCTTATTTTAAGGACTAAAATTTATTGTGTTCTCTTCTTTATAGCTAAGTTATATCAGTGTTTAGTGGCTGATTCAATTTCTTTTAAAAACAGTAAAATGCTTTTGGCCAGGGTTTATTCATTAGATGGATGAGCATCTGATGCCTTTTTTACAACTAAAATATTTTCATTTTTCTTTCAAATTGAACTGCAATAGGACAAAGTAAGAGGGATGCATAGAAGTAGGAATTTGCACTAAGAAACATTTCAATTACAGTCATTAAGGTTAATCTGGCACTGGTAACTAAATATAGCAATTATAACTTTTTAGCACCTTGATTTTCTATGTAGCTTCTGAGCAATTATCTAACCTGTAGGAGCAAAATCTCATGCTGTTCATGAAATATTGACAATATGAAAATAGTTTAGGCTGTTATGTGTACAGTGCACCTTTCAGTTTCCTTGGGTATGTGGTAGTTGCAGTTTTTATATAACTGTGAGCTATCTGTTCTATAAAGATGAATAGAAAATTGAATCTAAAGGAATTTTTCGTGTTAACAGTTAATCACATTCATGGTCTAAAAATCAAGGTTTTTTTGTTAATAGTTTGTTGTATCTTGTTTAAAACTGAACACATGCCCTCACTGCCAACTTAGGAAAATAAAAGAGTTAACTTATTTTTTTTTTTTTAATTTATTACTTGCATTCTTAGAAGTTAACATTACAAGAAAATATGTTGTGATTTCTTTGCTTTTTGTGTCATTAACCTCTATCATCTTTTTTACTTCAAGTACTTGAGAAATGTTCATTAACTTCTAATAAATTTTAAAAAATAATCTGACGCTTTTCAGACTTGCAAAAATAGAACTGTAACATTTTAGGAGATGATAGGAAAAAAGTTAACAGATGTTTCCCCAGAATTTATGCAGGCATTTTTGTCAGTCAAATATCTATAATAACTGGCAATTATGGGGATATTTTTGTAAAATAAATTTAGAGTCTCATAAAGCAAGTAAGAATCAAGTGGTAATATTTTAGTGCTGGGCTTCTGCAACAGATATAGAAGAGAAAGCCTCTGCATTCTGTTCAAGGGTTTTGGAATCCAGTGTTCTCTTCATTCAGGTGAATATAAAGTGAGCAGATGCATGAGATGCTTAAGCCTTTATAAGAATTTAGTTTGCTGTAAGTGCGAATGGCAGAATAGATATTCGATAATGTAGAGATTAGTATATTTATTTAAAACAAATTTGTTTAATTAATAAGTTGTTTTCTGAAACGGGAATTGTATGTTTCTTGTAAGGCACTCCATCCATACTGTGAGGTTTTAAGACCAAATCCGTATATCTCACCCATTCATGTGTGTATTTCAGTTTTCACTGTCATATTTTTATTTTAGAGGTCCATTTTCCATCATAGAGGTCATGCAAGAAGCTACAGGGTGAATATAGGCTAAAATGAGCAAGAACAAGGTTTATAGAGCTTATGGAACTATTTACAGTTTATTCTTTAGATCAAATGTGTTTTTTACATTTTAACCCTGTATAAATTCTTGATTATTCTCTGCAATTCCAGGGCAGCTGAAATTCTTTACTACTTGGCCTTAGTACAGTCCAGTAAGTCTGAGAAGATGAATGTATTTCCTTCTGTGGATAACTATAAATTGCTGACAGAAGCTAGGAGGAACCTTGGCCTCTTTCAGCATCATGATGCTATTACGGGAACAGCCAAAGATTGGGTAGTTGTGGATTATGGCACCAGGTAATTTATTATAAATGCAGAAAGTTAAATCTTAATTTTCTTTTGCATTTTTAGAACTGAAGTTTTTATTTCAGATATACACATTTGAAGCAGCAGTGTACTCCACTGAAAGTGTAGAGGTGCTCTTCATGAGAAGTGGATTTGATTACCCATGCTGTTCATTTATGAAATACTTTTTAACCCTCTGAGTAAGAATTTTATGTCCAAACAAAATTTTGATATTTCCTAAAGTAGTCACATTACTGAGATTTCCTTAATAACAGATTTTTTCTGCAGTAAGTAGGAGTACTTTTTATAATTGTCTGTCATAAACAATGATCAAAGATATTCTAATTTATGCATATATTCCTTGGAAAATCCCACACCCTCTGTAGCCTACCTTTCTTAAAAGTGGGAAATCTTTTCCATGTTGAAAATATTCTACTTGTCTGTCATTGTTTATTGTTTCATCTGGGGGGTATTTCTCAGTATTAGTGTCTTTATAGAGTTTTTTTAAAAAACATTGCATGATATATATATCACTGTGTATACACATGCTTTAATTATGGGTTTATTCAGAAAAATCTTTCATATTGGAATGTTTAGAACTAGTAAATTTGATTAATTAAGGTGATGATGGTAGCCTGAAGATACAGCATGTTCATTAAATGAGTAATTGTTTTAAATGCTTCTAAAATACTCTTTCTTGTTTAAAACTATTTCATGACAATTATTTTTAAATATTTCCATATATATTTCAATATATTTCAATATTTCAATATATATTTCCATATTTTCAATCCACTAAATCATAAGTATTCACAATGCACTTAGTTATAAGAGAGCAAAATAAAGGCTTTTTTCACTTTGCAAATAAAATTATCCAGCTCTCTGGATTTAGAAACTTGTGGGCCTCTTGATAGTTTGTATAGTTTATAGTTTATATTTTTCATGTTTCTGATTGTTCTCTTAATCCTGTGTAAACACAGTCTTGACTTTGTAACCAGTGTTTCAGGCTTGTCTCCACTATAGAAACTGAAAATCAAATATACAAATTGCAAACTTTCCTAAAATTAGCATTTTGAAAAAGCAGTCGGTATTCTGAGGATACACCTTTAGTAGCACAACATACAGGAGGAATTGTACCTCATTTGCAGTATGACAAGAATATATTTCGGACTATTTCTGCATTTTTCAAGCTATTGCACCCATTGCAACTAACTGTTCTTAATTTCATGTGATATTGATGTTAAAATTTTTATTTATTTTTTTGCAACTCATAGTTTTAGGTTCTTTAATGTTTTTAAATTTTGATATTACAATGTTGAATAACAATAATTAAAAACTAACAGAGACTTTAAATATTTTAACAGGCTTTTCCATTCAATAATGAATGTGAAGAAAGTGATAATTGACTCTGCTCATATTCTTATCCTAAAGGACAAAAGTGCTTATGATTATGACACAGCAACTCCATTCCTGAAGATGGTGAGCTCTCTTCCTTGATTTTTTACAAAAATGAAATGTAAACTATGTATTTTGAATACAGTTTGAGTAGCCCTGGGAAACATCAGAACTAAATTTTCAGGTAATGCCTTATCAGAAATGTGCTACTTATCACTCTTCATATAGATTGAAGATGTTAGAAAGTAAAAAGTGAACATGTCAGCGGCTGATATTGAAAAAAGCCCACACAGCTAAAGGAAAGGGATCTTGTTCCCCTTTTTGTGTTAGATAGTAAGAGCAGGTGTTCTAATTTTCTTGTGGGCAGAAATTTGTTGGATGCTTAAGTGATATACATATGTAAGTGAATGGATAACAGTATGCAGTCCTATGATTTGACTTCACTTTTAACTTAAGAACTGTGGGAAGAAGAAAATTTCCATCACTAACAGAAGTCTAACCTTAGTTTGCTAGATGAGGTCTAGACAATACCTTGTACTCTTTTCTCTGCTGAAATTATTTGAAACAGGAATGTTCAATGAAATGGATGATAAAGTAAGCAATGTATCCTCTTGTATCATTTTGAGACATATTTTACAGTGAAGAACACCTTGAAGAAACACACTTGCTAATACTGCTTCCTGACAGAATTCTTAGTTTCTTCACTTTCTTCACTTTCTCTTCTGTGATAACTAAGAATTTTTAGGAAGTCTACTTAAGTGCATTTACCTTGAAGAAAGACAAAATGAGATGCTTTAATTTCTTTGTGTATAAACACAGCATAAAGATAGTCTTTATGATATGATTATCTTATACTTCTGACATAATAAACATGACATACATTTTATGGCTTAGTTGTGCCAGGTGTGTCATATCTTGAATTATACTTCCAGTCACATGTATGCATAAAAAAAAAAGTTAGAATAGTTCTTTATACTTTTTATGACTTTTGTACAAATATGTATATATACATGTATAAGTATATATGCTGAATGTGTATGCTATATGCTTGTATGTCATAAATATATAATTTTTCTCCTCTTTGTAATGTGCACTTTCACAAAGTAGGAATATTTTGAAGGCATGCCTGGGATGAAGGTTTTACTCCTGCTCTGAATGATATTGGAAGACGTTGCCATGGTTTATTTTACTAAATTTATTTTGTTGTTCGTGTTCTTTATCAATCTGGATTAATACCACTGCACTGTAGAAGTACTAATTGCTGTTTAAACTGTATATTACCTAGTAGCATACTAATTCAATAAGCTATTATTACCACCGTGAAAGCAGAGATTAAAAAGGAAGTTCTTATTTCAATTAATTTTATTGTGCCTATATAAAACAAAAAAAATAAGGTGATTACAAAAGCAGATTAAGATTTATCTGTATGCCAGACAATATCTGCAGCATACCATTAATTTAGTATCTCTGCTATGCATTGGGTATAGCAACCTTTTTAATGTTAGATTTGTAGACTGCTAACAGGAGAACTTCAGGATACTTACAGAACCTTTGCAAACCTTGAGCAAATTGGAAGTTCAGAGGCATTTATTTTGGAGTACAGATTGTGGTATTTTGGTGGCTGATGGAAGCTGACATTAAGAATTGCTCAGTGATGGGTGTTCAGAATGAATGTCAGGAGAGTTGAGAAAGACAAATGATGAAGTCTCTAAGACTGAAAGTGGCTGTTGTTTTTGAGGGGTGAAAAAATCAGAAACACTTAGAGGAACAGAGCATAAGACCGTAGCAGCAGCATTCCAGCAGGTAACTGGTACAACCAGGGAGAAATTCCCTTCCCTGGAGGCAGAAAAAAGGAAGTTGGGAATAAGACACTGCTGAAGAAATCCAGAATGATACTGTTTGTACTTTTTCTTCTCTTTCTAATTATTAATAGTACTCAAAAGCATCATGTTTCTCTCAGCTGGTAGCTGAACACTTTGTACTTCTTGTGTTAAGTTTTACAAATTCTACACTAGTAAACAAACAAAAAATCACTTGGAAGGCATACACTGAAAAATAGAAGTCACTTAAAGATCCCAGAATGATGCAGCTTTGGTTGGATCATGGATGAGATTCAAACTGCAAAAATAAAACCGCAACCATTACACAATTCCTGTACATTAGTCTTAGTTCTTTCTCTGCAGAAAGAAAATTTTAATGTAAGTGGAAATTGCTGGATTTGAAAAACTTGATTTTGAGGATGTTTTGAGGAACTGAGGAGCTTTGCACTTCAGTTTCCAAGTCTGTAGTGGTCACCATTGTAAGAACAGACTAGGATGTGATAAATCAGTAGTTTGGCTGTTCTCTTAGGCTATGCAGTAGTGACAGCAGTGTCTTGTCTCTACCTTTCCTCAGTGGAAGTGTACCACACTACACCCTAAATTATGTTTTTTGAAACTTTTCTTTGTGTACAATATAAGGTAACAATGAGAGCTCCCAGGAAACAACACTGAATCCTTGTGATAAGTGCACAGGAGTGTGGTGTTTCAGAGTAAATTCATAGCAGGGGAAATCTAATAAAAATAAATATTTGCAAAATATGAAGGTAGTTTGTGATTATGAAGTCTTGCATGCAAAAATGAAAACACAGATATTATAATGTGATAATGGAATCTAATAAGATCTTTAACAAAAACAAATATTTTGCAGTGAATTGGTCAAAGGGAGCATCTTTCTTTTGTCAGTGTGAAGTGCTTAGTTTATTAAATTTTGTTATTTGTCATCCTCAGTAATGTGCTAAAATAAGCTTTGGTTTATGGTGTTGTTTATGTGGTTTTGTACTCCACAAAATGCATATAATAGACAAAGCTCATATATTATCCATTGAATTGTATTCAAAAGGAAATTCAAAGATGTTTTCTTGTAGGATGATATTCAGGCTTCTCAAGATTCTTTGCCACGCAAGACAGTTATAAAGCTGACATTGCAACCAAGGTAAATAATTTATATATTACTCAGTGTCTGAGATTCTTATAGCAATGTATGTGTTTTCACTACCTAGTAAGCAGTTTTTTATGCCGTTCCCCTTTTTTCAGTTTTTTTTCTTTCACTTTTTGCTCAAAATAGAATTAAAGTTGAAAAAAATAAAGAAAATTAAAAAAATTAGACTGGGAGATAATGCTAATATTATTATGTCTACTTGAAAGAGGATACAGCATGTTAAAACTATAGGTATTTCTCACATACCACAGCAGTATTCAGTTTCTTTGTGTTTTTACAGCACCATAATACTAAACAGATTGTGCTTGAGGAAGCAATAGAAGATTCTAATTAAGCAGAATTACAGGTGCCTTAATTAACTCTGTGAGCAAAATGTCAAGTTTTTCTAAGGCATAAAAATCACAATTTATAAATACTGAATTGTCATTAAAAACAAAGTAGAAGATAAACTAAGACTCTCTTAACTCCAACTTTCCATTCTATTAGGAGGGGTTACTTTTTTATTTCTGTGTAGTTGTAGTCAGCTGATGCTGGCATGCTGCTATGCCCATGAACACTCTGTATCCCGCCTGAAATAATGTACACATTCTTTTAAAGTGGCTGATCCAAATGAAGTGAATAAGATGTCTGGGTATGAGACGTGCTATGTGTGTGTAAATCAAATAGCATAAGGTTTTTTGCTTACAGAACAGAAGATTTAAGATTAATTTAAAAAGCAGAGAAGGCTATTTTTGCTGATGTTAGTATTTGATTTCTCTAGTTCTAGCAAGTGGCAAGCCACTAAGACTTACTTGCCTAATTCATGCAGGTGTCCAACAATTCAGCAGACTAACTGCTACTGCTAAAAAAAAATATAATTAAAGACTTTGAAAAAGTGACTGAAGTTTAGATCTTGTGCCCATTTGGGGGAAGCTGTCTTCAGTGCTCCAGCACTGAATGTACATAATGTGTCTAGTGTATGCTTTTCTCTAGTGCATGTTTTTTTTTAATAGGAATTCTCTTTTCTTATTGGAGTGCTATATAGATGCTAATAGATTATCTTAAACTTGTCCAAAATGGCCAAGAATTCAGGTGCATATTTATTTAACTAAAATGTTTTAGATTTTCAAAATTATCTCCTCAGGTTTCTTCTCTGGAAGAGGATTGTATATAAATAGTAGTATACAAGTATGTAAGCATTTGGTTGGAGGCAAGTTACGATATAGATTTTCTTTGCCATTTGAGGATAGCTTTATTGCCCTTGCTTTCCTTACCTAGGTTAGCTGTTGAAATCTTCCCTGTGCCACTTTCATCCCCTAATACCCCTTTCGTTTGCATACAGTGTTCCACTCTCTCTGCATAATTTGCTGAGTAAGTTTTTCCCATTTTGGTCTTAATTTCAGACATTTGCCTTTTTGTTCCCCTCTGACTAGTATATCAAACAGATATACATGACATTACCATTAATATTATCCTAGCAGACTACTGCTGCTATTCTCTAAACTGGACTTAACTTACTGAGAAAATAGTACTACTAGAAAATTCCTGACTTTATGTTGTCTGGTATTGTGAAGGTACCACACAGTCATACAAAGCATGATATATGTTCCAAAGACTGCCATCAGAAGTATGGGAAAAAGAATGAAGAGAGGGAAAAAACGAGACAGAAAGGGCAAAGAAAGATTATAAGAGAATATTGATATTGATATTACTGACTAAACCCTGAGGGTTTTTGCATCTTTTTTATTTGAAAACATTTTGGAAGTAACACATAAGTGTACACTACTCTATGCTTTCTTTGTTGTTAAAATTTTCAAATGAGTATCTGTTTGTTAAACTATTTTTGCTTATAAAAATTAGCTTAGCCTCTTTAGTCTTCTAAGTTTATCTCTGGTTGTAGTCTGAATCTCCAGTCACTTTATTACCATTGGGAAAAGTGGTTTGTAAGCTGTTTACTGGTTAAATCCATGTGATTATTTCATCTGAGTTTTCTTGTAGCAGTTCATGAGAAATGTTATTTTCTGTAGAAGCCTAAGCTCAACTTAATAAATCTATTATTAAGAATTACTGTGCATAAACTTCAAACTTTAAAGCTTATAAGAAAGTGGTTTTTTACATTTAAAATTTTGGGGCATCAGCAGATTTTAAATACTGATTTTCACCACAACTTTGTTATTTGCTTATCTTCTGTTTCTAATAGTCTTTGTTATTCACCTGTGTATAATTGAATCTCTAGACTTCTTTCCTCTAGTGTGTTCTAACATGTCATTACATGGCATAGAAATTAAATCAGTCTAACTGGCAAGGTGTTACTTTTCTTTGATTGGCTATTTAGCTTTTTGTATTTTTGCATTTCTGTGTCAGAATTAAAAAAAAAAAAATCTGTATTCTAGATTGATTATTCTTCTGTAAGTCTGCTTCATATCACCTGTGAGTTTAGAGGGACACTGCTGATGGGAAGCTCATAATGGCTTTTCAAATCTCACTAATTATTTTTTTTACTTATTTTATTGATTGCAAATATAACCAGCTGCTTTCTACAGGTACATAGTTGGTAGTATGCTTTTTGCCTCTTTCATCCATCCTTCCTTTTGGGTGTTTTTTAGTTAAGTGTGCTCTTCCGTGCTCGTGAAAGTTGTAATCAGTAGTGAAAACTTATCTGACAGACTGTACAGGAGAGCTACAACAACTTGGTTACATGGAAAGAAAAGAAAGCAGGAAAAGATCTTCCAGTTGATAATGTTCTAATATGAAGTATCTCCATATTGTTGTGTACTTGAAAATTATCTTTCAAACTGCTTCTAGGCAGGTGCCACCTGTAACCTGTTTGGTATTGTTTCTGCTCCCACCGGAGCATCTCTTCTCTGTTGTGATATCTTTATGAATCCGTATTGTTATTTTAAAAGTAACATGTTAATTTTGATGAAATAGGTATTACAGGGTATTTTAGATCTTAACTTTGACTCCACCACCTCAGGATGACTAAGTGGTCTTATGATCAGGCTTTAGAATACTGAAATTAGGGAGTCTTTAATTACATTAAATCCCTTTTAACTGATAAATTAAGTTTCATGTTCTTAAAAAAAAAGTGTTTCTTTCAGCTGCAAAATGGAGCTTTCACAAGATAATATTCAACTAGATATGGAACTACTCCAGTCTTGTTCTGAAGTTTAAAATTACTGCATGTCTTGGAGACAAAAAGGCACTTGGAAACAGACACTTGGGGAGTGTGCTGATAAATTGGATGCTGTTTCATACTCTGTGACTGCCCAGCTATTTAATATAATAATAGGTTTTCAGGAGCAGTCTGCTGGAGAGCATACTTCCTGAATGGCAAAAGACTTGCACTCACTGGACTCAGTGGGTGGGGGGTGTGTTTGAACCTCTTGTTGTCCAGTTTAGGCTGTCAGCAGCAAATGAAGTCCACACTGACTGTGGGGGGAAGGGTTTCCCAGCTGTTTCTGTCTGTGCTGTTTTCTGGAGACAGCGTTGCAGTGGAGCATGACACACGACCAAATGACTGGATTGACTGTCGGCACCAGCTTGGATCTGGTAGTTGTTTTGTTTGGCACAATATTGTGAATCTTAGTGAAAAGGCTTAACAGTGGCCATTGGCTTTTATCTCTTCTTCCCCCTTTTTTTTAAATCCTGAACCTTCACATACCTAGCTGGACAGTTTCAATACTGAGCTCCACTGCACTCGGTTCTATCGGAAGATACTGTGGCATTCAAAAATTTTTTAAAATCATCAATTTAGGAGTATTTTTAGTGCTTAACTAATTATTACAATTTAACCACAAATAACTTTTGTCGGCTCATCTTAGAGGAACAATATGATATGATAACCTTCTTATCAGGCCAGTTTTATAGCTCAGCAGACACATATTTCCACTAGCTGAAATATTTAGGTTGCCTAGGGAATTAATTACAGGAGGATACACTGTAATCAATTATTTCTTCAAAGATCTGTCAAAGCAGTTTAGTGATATCCACATTATAAAATAAAATTTCCTTTTTTGAAATAGAGGATGCAAAATCATCTGGGCTATTATCCTTACCTTGTTATCCATGAGCAGGTTTTGACATAAAGTTTTATTTAATAAAGCTTTCGCGTAAGTTGTGTTTTTCCCATAATGTCAAAAATGTAGTATTTTTTGAGAAAGAAAATCCCAATTTACCTATATAATTTTTTGAGTTGATAATATTTTCAAAAATACACTTGGCAGGGTATTCACTGCTTTCTCAACAAAGCACTGTAATGTAGAAATGAAAGCTATATTACTAACTTTAATCTGTGATAGAGAATAATGTACAAAAGTCAAAAACTCTTGACAGAGCAGTGTGTATGTTACTGTATTTGGTTGGATGACTACATTAAGAATAATTTGTCTGAGAATGAAATTTTATTAGTCACATGCCATAACTGTGTCTTTGTGAGCTTAGAAAATGACTGGATCAGGATAATACTCTTTATTTGGCAACCTTTGCTTTGGTGGTGATTTTTTGTTTCCTTTTTTACCCCCTTAGATGTATGCTACCCATTTTGGTACAAACTATCTAAACTTTAGTCCAACATAGTTACAAGGAGAGGACCCTCCAACAGCATTTGACATTTTAATAATAAACATCTTCATTGCCTTTTATGCTTGTATGATTTCAGAGGCATATGTATTCCTAGTTATACTCAAAAACAGCTGGGAAAAAAAGGACAGCTGAAACGAAGGTATTTTCAATTCTCAATAATAAAAAAAAAGTTTAAAGAAAATAGGAAAGAATACCCTAACATTTAAGATGTGCTCATAAATATTTGAGGCAATTCATGCATTGTTAATATGCACACCAGTTTCCCAGAGAAGAAAATAGATCTTGAAAAAGCAAACAAACAAATGCTAACCAAACCCATAGTTTTAAGTTTTCATTGGATGAAATAGTGATTGCAATATGCACAACCTTGTGTTTTTGTTTAAGTGAAATCTGTGTATTAGTATCTTTTAGGGGAGGTGGACTGGATGAAG